AAAATGAATAATTCTTTTTAAGCCAGAGCATATTTATCTTTGAATAATAAAATCAACACTAATTGTTGATTCAACTTTCATTAAGCAAGTTCAGTCAAGTATGTCTTTTGATCCTCTTATTCATGATATTAAAGAAAATCCTTCAAAGTCTCATGATACTTGGAAGTTTGAATTCAAGAACAATCTACTATATTTTGAAGGATGCCTATATGTTCCAAAAGGGGAAGCTCAATTATGTATTCTTCAAGCTCGTTATGACTTTTCAACAACAAGACATTTTGGGTACAATAAAATTTTGGAACTAATATTCAAGGACTTTTGGTGGCCGTAAATGTGGAAAGTAGTCAAAGATTTTGTACAATCTTGTGATGTTTGCTTAAGATCAAAAACTCCTCGTCATCAACCTTACAAACTTCTTTAGCCATTACCCATTCTAGAACAACCATAGTCTTTTGTTTCTATGGATTTCATCATGGATCTTCTAATCTCAAGTTCTTATGATTCTACATTCGTGATAGTAGATTGATTTACGAAGATGGCACATTTTGTACCATGTACAAAATCCATCACAGGTGAAGAAATAGCTAAGTTCTTTCATGACAATATCTATCGCTATCATGGATTATCCAAGGATATTATATCAAATAGGAGAACTCAGTTTGTATCAAGATTTTGGCAGAGTCTTTTCAAGATTCTAAAAGTGGATATAAAACTATCTTCGGTATTCTATCCTTAAACTAATGGACAAACGAAGCGTGTTAATCAAGTTTTGGAATAGTATTTAAGATGTACCATCAATTACCAATAAGATGATTGAACAACTCTTTTACCATTGGCAGAGTTTGCATATAATAACACAGTATATTCTTCTACAAAATAAACACCTTTCTTTACTAATTATGGTTATCATCCACAACTTGATACTTTTGACTTTTCAAAAGTTCATAATCCTGTAACAAAAGATTTGGCAATTCATTTGGCAGAGCTACATGCAACAATGAAGGCACAATTAAAAGAAGCTTAAGAACAACAAAAGGTTAATGTAGATATCTATCAAAAGGAACAACCATCATTCCACATAGGTGACAAGGTATGGTTACTTCGTCACAATATCAAGATTACTCATCTTTGTAACAAGTTGGACTATCGAAGGCTTAGATCATTTTCTATTTCTGCACAAATCAATCCAGTTGCATATCATTTGTACCTATTGGAGTCAATGAAAATCCATCCAGTATTCCACATGTTTCTTCTTGAATTATACAATATAGTGGACATACCAAGAAGAAGACAAGCTTTGCCTCTTCCTATAGAAATAGACAATAATGAAGAGTTCGAAATAGAAGAAGTCTTAGATTCAAAGTGGCGTCGAAATAAATTAGAATATCTTGTCTATTGGTGTGGATATGATATTAGTGAATGCACATGGGAGCCAATAAAGAATCTTGTAAATGTAGCAAAGGTGGTAGAGACTTTTTATTGACAACATTTATCAAAAACAAGATGAAAACCTTCCTTATAAAAGAAAGAAGATCTAGACAAGATGACATTCTACTTTCAATCCTTGTTTGTAGTTTCTTTATAGGTGTGATGCTGAGGAGATGGAGAATCAACAACTGGCAGATTTGCCTCAAAAACCTTCATTTGCTGACTTACCGGATGAGACATTACAATTGTCACAACCTTCAAGAGGACGCAATTGAGATGAAGATCTTCAAGAATGACATGTTCTTCCTCGAATAGATGGCAAGATACAACCTATTTGGTATCACGACCTTGGAAGGAACTTCTAATGTTTGGTGATTTTACCAGAGGTAGGAACAACTCTTGACAGTGTTCCAAATGTTTTATTCGAAGGAAGTTATAAAGGCCTCAATATTGATCAAATAACTAGGTAATCTTTCTGCCTTGGTATGGGATACTATCAATGGTTGAAAAGCCCTATCAATCATCTTCGAAGAGAATGAAGACTAGAGTATGTAGCAAATACAATTTGTCGCATCATAGATTTCTTCAACATATGATGACCGCTCTTTGTGGAACTCGTCCCTAAAAAGAAGGATAATGTCACGGACAAATGCATATAAGCTAGTAATTACATGTATAAATAGAAGTAAGTAAAAGTAGATAAAAGTAAGTTAATTTTATAATATTTACTATGAAAGCTTCTTAAAAGCTCCATAGACGCTGCTTTGACTTTATAAGTATCTTTAATTGACTTTTTGGATTAGAAACGTGGTCAATAAGTTGGCCATGTATCACACGTGTTGTTAGCTTAAAGACCAAGCTAACTATGTAGCCCACACGTAGAAAAACTTGCCTTATAAGCTAAGGCATGTGTCTTACAAAATCAACACATATTGGAGGTCCTATAGAACATCGCCACGAAGCCTTTAGTTAGATAGTATATATATAGACAAGAATGAAGCCTTCTTCATTCTTGTCAACTCCTTTCTTACTTCTAGTCTAGTTTCAAGGATCTCTAGTTTTCTTGTCTTTTGGCAATAGCAATTCCAATTTCTTTTTTAATATACATATTGAGTTATTTCTATTTTTTTATCTTTCTTTGAGAAAAGTCTCACTTGTTTATTTATCTTTATCAAGTTCTTGTCCTTGACAACTAGTTGATGCATTTTTTTGAATTGTCAATAGATTGTGGACTTAGACCAATTTATTTTAAGACTTGAAGGTAGACTTAACTACTTATTAATCTTTACCAAATAAATAATATTTGTTTCTTTTCTACCAACTATAATTGTAAAATTATTAGCATATTAACCAATAACTTGCTGATGGAGATTCTATAGAATAGAGACGCCTTATAGATATTGTTGAATAGCTTGTTCAATAATAATATTAAGAATTCCACCATCAAGATGAAGAGGTAAGGTACTAAAAGGCATCATTGTCTTATACCTCATTTTATTGAGAAATATTTTGTAAAAATCCTATTAATATACATTATTATGTTTGCACCTAAAAAACTCATTTCAATTATATGAAGAAAGGAATAGTCTCAGTCAAGTGATTTTAGAGCTTTAAAAATATATTTCTAAGAGATCTTTTCATAAGATTTAGAAAAATCAGATTTTTAATAGAAAGAGGGATTGTTTTGAAGTCTTTGCTTAATTTATAGTCTTTTAGATAATCAAAGAATTATCTAAGATAAACCTCAAGATTAGAAAGGTAATTTGGTCTAAGTAAATAACCTTCTTGAAAACTACTTTAAATCATCTTTAGATTATTTTAGTATAAATTTTGTAAGAGGTGTTCAATAATGTGATAGGCATATAATTACATAGCTTGGTTTTATTGTCTAATTTGTTTAAGAGAGGAATATATCCTTTGACAATGGAGAATAGGAATTAATTAGTAGCTAAAGTATAGTTAATAATAAAGATGTAATAATTGTTACTTCGGTATATTTTTACCTATATAAAGCTAAAACAACTTAAATTGTATTATTTGATGATTTTTTTTTTAACTACCATAGATAAAAATGAGATTTATTTATTTATTTTTCTTATATATATTAAATATTTGATAACAAAATATCAAAAAAAAACTAAAATAGTTGTGCTTCTCTTCTAGATGGTTGTACTTAAATTGAATTAAATTGTATTACTCAAATATATTTTGCAATATCATGTTTAACAATTTTAAATTTTAAATTAAACAAGAAATAATTTTGAGTTAATCATATATATAATTTATGATGTTTTTTTGTGTTCTTTTCTTTCTACTTATTACTTGTACATTATCATCATTATTACTTTCTCCTCCTTTCCTCTATTTGTTTCTCACTTCTCTTTTTCTATTGTAAAATTAATAACTTATTTTACTGACAAGTTATTCTTTGATTTATTTATTTAATGGTTTATATAGCTTCTTATTGAAATTTAATATAATCCATGATTAATATTTATACATGAATATGTTATTATGTATTTTTTTGTCAAAGTAGGTAAATCAGGAGCTATATTATTGAGTTTTCTTTTGTGTTGTGATTCAATTGATAAAAATATTTCCTTTAAGATTCTTCAGAAAAATGTGTATTTCCAATACCAATGTTCTTATATCCTCAATAATCAATTATGTTTTCCATAGGTTGTGAGACTAATTATTTGCATAAATGCAGTAGTGAAAAGATTCACAACATGAGCTGTTCATTAATTTCTCAAAGTGATTTTAGATAGAACTTAACCATATTTTTACATTTCAACATCTAACATACATTGTGTTCGTAGTGGAAATGTATGATGAAATCCTGATTTCCTGAAGCATGAAATTTACTACATACTATTCATTTTACATGATATAGCAACATGAAGAAAATGACCAAGTTGCATTACATCCACATGGAGGTATTAATTCTCATCAAAAAGTGCACTATTGATCTTCAACTAGGGACTGATTGATCAACTGATTTTTTGAAGGCAATCGGAAATTGTTGATAGTTTCCGTCTTCCTCTCGCACTCACAAATCATCACGTTCCAGTCTAAGCTTTATCAATGCATTAAAATTGCAATATGTGCCTTTGTGACACAATACTTGTATTTTGTCACTTCTGCATTATCAGGACAAGAAAAGGGTGCAGATTGCTACAACGCACAGCTACTTCACAGCATTGTAACTCATTAGTAGCCAATTGTATAAAAGCCAAGAAAGTTTCAAGTTTGCGTGTTGAGTATGTACATATTTATCGTAGTAAAGGATTTCGAACAGATGAGGAAGTGGTCAAGGACAGGTAAGTATTCACGTAGAAAAAAACACCATGAGGCAATTTTATGTAGAATTGCGGAGAGTCTGCCTACAACAGCTTCACAGGTATGAATTTTAGACTTGGCAACACGGCACAGGATTGATCGATCTACACAGAGCGTGCAGAATGCATAACAGTCATAGCTTTACAAGTGTTCTCCAACCTCACACGTACCAGTTTCAAGATGGGAACAGTTCAACCACGTTACCAATCAACCCATTTGCTTGTAGACATTCAATAATCAGATCAAATCATCACTTTTAAATAATAGTTAGCGAAGTACATATCATACACGTGAGACACAGGCTGAGGTACTAAATCCGAACTGCAATGGAGAATTCATCCTCCTCATACTATTCCACTGTTTGCAACTCGAAAGCATTTTCCTGCCTCACACCACACATAACTTAGGTCCTGAGGAAGACTATAGCAAAATCAAGTCTACCAATACCTCATGTCCGCACTCCGTTGTATGCAACAATGATCCTCCACGCTCGATTTTACATGCTGAGTTTGAAATATGCAAGCTTCCATGAATACTGCCGAGATAAACATGGGTTTAGTAATCGCCCTGACGGTCGCACTTGCCAGTCGAGTTGTCGCAGAAACCGTTCTTGTCCAGCAAGATCGGAGGTGGTGCACTAAGCTCTGGGGAAGACGGCGAGCCGTAGGCATTGCGCCTAGCGTTACCGCAACCCAAACTCTTCCGAGTGCTCATGCCGGTAACTGGGTTCGTTCCACTCGCGTACTTGCACAATGCCTGGAGATTCAGGACAATCGCCATTCATCACCATTAGGTTTTCAACCTCAAGCTACTATTTACTTTTAAACTTCAGAATCGAACAGGAAACAACTTCGAAGTAAGACATGGTAGGGACTCGGATTTTATCGTAACAAAATGGAAGAATAGGACGAAGGAGAGGACATGCCTGCTTCTGAGTGAGGTCCAACACGGCGTCACTGAAATCAGCACCTTCGATAATAGCCGATCCCAGATCGCTTCTTGTCAGCACTGCCCTAACCAACAGTGCGTTGCTCAGATTTGCCTCGTTCAAGACCTACAAACTCACCAAGTGTTAATTCTAAAAGGACCTGTAGAACAGTTATAAGTTCATGGTGTATAATCCAAAATCAATGATGTGTGATTTACTCACCATGCGATCCATAAGAGTGTCGCTGAGATCAGCACCTGCATCACATTAGGCAAAGCTTTAGACCAAGGGCTCAGAGAGAGCTCTGATGATTAACAAAACTGTTGCCGGCCATATTTCCTGTAAAATTCAGGACCTCTGATCCGTTTAGACCACTTCAAAAACTGGCGGAAACTAATTCGCGGTCCAATTGCTACCTCGTCACCACTATCACAATTTCAACTACTGTTGAAAATGTTTTATACCTGAGAAGTTGGTTCTGTACGCAACGGCCTTCTCCAAGTAGGCCCCATTGAAAGTGCTGTTACTGAAGTTGGCTTCTTTCATGTCCGCGGACGTGAAGTTGCCTCGCCTGAAATTCTCATTGGCATGTTGCGTTTTTCTACAGAGACAAGTCCAAATGCAATAATGTTTAATGCAACTTGAAACAGATATGCGATTGATCAAGAGGAAAAAAATATCCAAGTCCTCATCCTAAATTGGAACGTGAGAATGGCAGTTCCTAAACGAATAAAATTTGAGAGCACGTTGCAATTTCACGTACTTCAGATCCGCGGAACCGAATTGGACTGCTGAACCAATTCCGAATTCCCCCCGCGTATTAGCCTCTAAGGAATTCAAGTCAGCCAACGAATCTGTGCTTGTTCCCAGCACAGCAGCGGCGGCTAGCGCTGCAGCCATAGCCTGACGCAGTCCTCCACGCTTCTCTGCCATTCATATCATTCAAAGTCTTAGCCCTGTGCTCCGAATTCACATTCCACACAGGTCAGGTACCTACTCGACTAGTCGAATACAGCAAAAATCTCACAGTAAAGATTTACCTTAAATGCACCACAAAACGAGGTGCTTGATCCAGATAATTCGTTACAAGACAAAACATTTCATGCAAACTTTGGATGTTACTGATCAAGTAAAAACGCCGACACACAGCCTGACGAAATTGTTATGGGAGTAACGGATCCTGTCAGCTAAAGGGGTTTCAGCACCACGCGTATAGGGTTGTCATCGAGTTGAATCCGAATTGAGTTTTGAAATAAAGCGCTTCATTAACCGTGACACGATCCTAAATTCGGCGTGTAATTAAAGTAATGCAGAGGTTAACTTTGGCTAAAGCACTTCATATCTTGGATCGTCGCGAGAACGTACTATATCTTCACTGGCGACCATAAGGTAACCAATGCGAAGCCGTAAACGCTTCAACTCGGTAGACACCTCACAACCCAAGAATTACCGAGCCAATGTCCACAGCAAGAGAAGCAAGGACTCCAGAAATGCTGCTCAAAGCACAAGACACGAGAATTCAAGGCACCTGATGCGCAAGACGACGCATCGCCAGCACCCACGTCATTGTGATCCGAAACCTCGCACACGCAAGCGTCACCTCGCAGGCTCTTCCGAAACTGAACCCCTTGAGACTGATACAACTTGGACGCCGACGCCTTCGACGCTGAGAACGCACCGACAGAACCGGAACTGCAAGTTCCAGGCACTGTTGCACCCACAGACGCTGCTCTCAATGCCATGAAGCCGGAATTTTCTCACAGCACGTTCGCAGCACCGGTACACAGAAACCCAACTCGGGAAATCACTGTCAAGTGCGATGATTCGACGCTGTGGGAAGCAAGAGCAGCTCCAAGTAGTGCTACAAACTGATGAGACGAGACTGCGGCCACGCAGCGGATCACTCTATCTATTCCTGGGGAACGGAGGAGGGGGACGAGGAAGGGGACAGAGTTCTCGGGTTTGGGAACAAGAAAGCGAACTGGACAGACTTGGAGGGAGCCCCTCCACGCAGCGGGGTTGGCTTTCATACATCTCACGGGCACCGAGCGTATGGGGGCTCCTTACCTTTTGCTTTTTTTCCCCTACAGCTACTTTTCTCCGACACTCGCCCGATGTGTACACGTGTTGATTCATGGAGCTGCCCTAACTGCCCTAGGAAGTAATATCTTGTGAACGTGTGGATTATATAGCTTTCTGGTTTTCTTTTGCTGATGTTTTCCTTTCTTTTCTTTGTTTGTAGAAACAAAAGGGCATGTGACATTTTTGCTGTTATTGGGATGTAGATGATTGAGAGACCTTGGTGATGATTTTTGTGTGTTAAAGGAATTGAGGTTAGGATTAGGATGTTTGATATAGGTTTAGTTTTAGGGAACAGGATTTCATGGAACCAATGATTTTTCTTACTAGTGCAGATAATGTTGATCGTATTGGTTCAAATCGTTCTGGATTTGAGTTGGAGATTATCATGTTTGTTGTGTTGTGTTTGTGATCAATGTATACGAATTTACGGAATTTACAGAGTTTAGAAATAAATAATTGTTTTAATAGATCAAAACCTCCTCACTTGATTGAGTTTGTCTGGTAATTTAACTCTAAAAAGTATTTACTTGAAGTTGAATACTTTCCATAGACTACCAAATTTGGTTCGGACAAAGTCTGTTGAGGAGAGGAACACTATGTACCAAATTTAGTTTGGACAAAATTGATTAAGAAGAGAGGGACATTGTTGCCATGTGCGTTGAATGGAAAAAGTTTAAAAAAAAAACATGTAGAGGATAGTCTCTTTGCTAAGCGAAAAAAAAAATCCATGAGACAACAATACAAAAAAACAACTATCTTCAACAAACATGATACATATCCCGTAGGATGTCATGATAATGGCTATCTAAGGGTTTCATGATTTACTTACTTTTCAACTGAACAAGCAGATAATTCACCCCTTTTCTTAACAAATGGACTCTAATCCTGATCATGAGATATTCTATGATTCATTCTAACAATATAACTTCGAAGCTTTGAAGTTTTTGAAACCATAAATAAATGGTATCAAAAGTAACCCTAAAACACGTCAATTTAGTTTCAGAAATTGAAAAACATGAGAATTTCTGATTTCCATGACATCAGTAACGTCACCCAATATTGTACAGACACACTAATGATAGCTCCTTAGTTGTTGCCAAGTCGACCTCATTCCAATTTAAGTTAGACGAGCTCATCACCACCTCACACCACTTAACTTTCTACAAACTACAGCACCCGCAGAATCATCTTGGAAGACCATACAGTCATAGATTCACTTGAGCGGGACGAAACACAGCACTACATGAATCTAAACCTAGCTCCTACACTTCGAAAGTCATTACCATTACTATAAATGAAGTACACCACCCACTCTAAAGGCAAGCTTTTGGCCAGACTACAGCTCATAATTGAACCCATTTTAAAGGGTCAAGTGCTTCTCCATTCTTACGAACTGCACACACATGTTTCAATGAAACTGGTAAGATTGGTCATTGCGCTCTTCCTTCTTTATGGTTACAAATCAAAAGCCTGGGTAAAGAAGAATCTACTTGTAAGCAGCGGTTTTATCACCATGTTCATTCGTCCATATGCTGCATAGGATGAGCATAAACAGACGAAAAGTCTTTCAAAAAAGGACAATACACACAAGTATTGTCGTAAAAATTGTATACCTTCGAAGTGTAGATGAGGACCTGTGGCGCGTCCTGTTGCACCAACTGCTGCTATTTGTTGTCCCTTCACCACTTGCTGTTGATAAATCAACCACACGAGATAAAATAATTAGAAGTCGCACCATGAGGACTACAGACCACCCCACATACCATAATGCATGTCAAAGCATTCAGAATTAAACAAAAAAGAACTAACAACAATATCAGTAGCGATGAAACCTGCTTGTTGTCATCCAAAATAGTAAAGCAGTCATGAGCTCTATACCTGGCCAACACGTGAATGAATAGCACAGCAGTGGCCATATCTTGTTACAAAACCCCCTTCATGCTGAATGGTTACCAAATACCCGTAACTGTGAAGCATTAAAGATGGTCAAAAAGTGAGCTCCGCATCAATGGTAACAGGAATTTTCCAGAGATTCAAAATCAAACCAAAGAGCATAAACGCCAAAAACGAAAACAAGAGAACTCCACCAGTTTAACCAATCTGGAGCACATGTCTTCAAGATTCGTGTGATGCACATGATGAGATTACGAAAAACGCATCTTTAGGATAATCACACGAATGAGATCAATAAAATGAGGTGGAAAAGACAATGCAGGACAAATCATGATAATGAGAAAAACTTACCCACCACTCCAGCCTGCGAATATTACAGTGCCTCTATCTGATGCCAAAATTGGAGTTCCTTGATCCGCTGCTACATCAACACCCTTCACCAGCGAAAAAATAATTAATTAAATAATAAATAAAATAATCTGAAAACCTTAAGCTAGGGTACAGCACCAGTTTGAGCAGATGTCGAGTGCGTACAATAATATGGTGAGTCGAATGGTGTTTCCAAGTACAAGTACAATTTTGACAGTCTTCAGAGTGATAGTGGTCTAGATGGTAAAACTAATGATATTGCCTAAAATCCTTCGCCGCACATGCAAACAGCTTCGTGATACGGTGAGCATTTTACAGGGCAAGAAACGCCACTTAAATCCAACTAGAAACAGCATGCAAAGCTAAATCGAATTCAGACCAAAGAGAGCACTTTACCTCGTGAAATGCACCCCAACGCCAGCCATAAGTACTGCTAATAAAACTGCATTGATTCCCAACATAAGAAATAAAGAGTCTCTTAGAATCTACAAATAACCAACCATCTCAATATCTTCATATAAATGGAATGGGCTGAATAAACAGCTATTTAGTAGGCTATATAACAGGAAAGACGGGGATTCCTGATCATTGATTGCAATATCATATTATTATTCAGCGTAAATTAAACATCCAGGGAGAATATGACATGCAAAGGGAGCGTTCAGTTTAACCATCACAAATGTCAAGGATGATCATAATGATATTGTTGATGATAAAATAAAAGAAGGGAGGTAGTCATACCCCTCTGTGACAGGAGAACTAAACCGCATCCATTTATCTTGAGTATGCTGAAAACCCTTCCGCTTCCTTTTCCATCGCCCTAATGTGTGGACAGAAACGACATGAAACAAATATTTAAATCATGACAAGTATGTACATCATAAACTCAAACAGAGAACCAAACAAAACTCGTATGGCCCATGATCATAGGCCTCGAAAAGAGCAAGCGATTAACCTCATAACTTCCGGATTAAACTAGATATGTTCACAGACCTAGTTGGTATTTCCATCAAGAATGACGAAGACCACCAATTCTGAAAAGCTTAACCCGTTAGTTACAGAACCTCAACCATTTATCTATGTCAAAAGAGGTAGCAGAACTAACTTATGACCCAGGCTGGTAACTTAATTTAAGCCTATGGTGCGGTACAAAAGAATTTCCACAATCCTACTTACAAAACCCTATGCAGGTGAAGATATCAGAACACCTTGCACGCTAGAGATTTCATGCAGAGTACACATTTCAAGAATATTAAGATAAAAAATAAATAGAAACTAGATCTTCAAACGGAATTGATCCAACCCCATGGACAACAGAAGGTGGCAAACCTTCAAGTTTCAGATTGCCGGTAGTGAGTTGATGTTTAAGAGTTTGTTCTGGACCTCCAACTCCTAGCCTTCGTAGAAAACCAGCACATTGTCTGGAAAAGAGTAACCGATTGGTACGTCGTCTTCCTGACCGTATCTCCAGAAGTTCACTGGATGATGGACCTGAAACAAAAAGGGCAATTATTTCATATGTGAATAAATCATAGCCTTTTGCTTAAACATTGCGTGCTAGAAAACCGTAAAGTAGAATCAGCAGCTGTGAAAAAATACAGTACCTGCTGACACAGCCAAGACATCGCCCTCAAAAATTTTCTCGTTGCGCAAGTTGTTTAACCGCTGCAGCTCCTCTGAGCTTAGGCTGCGCAAATATTCCACACGCAGAAAAGCCACATAAAAAGATTTTAACGCTGTTGAATATGAGTAAAATAGAGAGAAAGTGTTGGACAAACAATGTCTGGCCTTCTATTCAAGTTTTGAAGCAAGTTTGACAGTATTGACGCTACCAAACCTTACGTTGTCAACTTTCTATCGTGATCAACATTCTGGTAAGCCCAGGGGACAAAACCTCTGAATATTTGATCCTCACCCGTGTCCAGCAGCAATGTCAGCTAAGGTATCTCCATATCGAACACGAACAGTTTTCAGTTTGGGAATCGGATACGTTTTCTGCATCCTCTGCGATCGAGGACACGCACTTATTACTGGTTTCACACAGTTCGGAGGTTGCTGGATGTTCCCTAAAACGCCGTCAGCCAATGCATTCCTTTCTTGCACACTCGCCTTTCGACCAAGCACTGCTTGCTCCGCACTACGCCGATCTATCTGCAAAATACTGTGGAGGCTCGAAAACCTTTAGTCAGAATGAGGTGGGACATTAAGTGATATTATATTCAAAATTTCATGCCAGATCTGCTACAGGTGAGAATGATTGTTAAATATCGTTTCAAGTTGAGCCTACTAATTTGCAACTGTCAAAAAAAATGAAAGTAAATGAAAGTATACCATATTCCTGTCACGTATTCACTGAATAAGGTACTAAAAATAAATGACGGCAATGAATAGGTGTTGATACAGCACACCTACGATTCGTTCACTACTTAAAACGTATAATTAATCTGTATCACATACCTGCCAGAGTAAATAACATCGTTTTTAATGTTGTTAAGTCTCTTCAGCTCCTTCACTGTGGTCCCATACTTCTGTGCTAACCATACTAGCGACTCTCCATCAAGGACTTTGTGCTCCCGATTCCTAGCACCTAAAACACGCCCTAAAAGTACAAAAGTTTTGCTGAGACTGAATATCTCAGGCCTCATCAATAATGATGAAAATGCACTCCTAGTTAAATACTCCTTGTGCTCAGAGCATGCTTTAGCTCTTGGAACAGGTGACTGACTAGATGACGAAGAAGTGGAGCAGCCACTTTCGCTAGGTATTGATATCCGGCTGCCCACACGTAGACTGTCAGGATTTCTCAGACTGGGGTTCGCGATTAGAAGGGTCCTGTCAAAGAGAATTCACATAAGTTCATGAATTATAGAACAGCAAGTGCAGAAATTGAGACAGATCCACAGGAAAAATAAACACAAAATAACAAATAAATAAATACATATTTACGACAAGCTACTGCTCGCTTTCACATCATATTTGAGACCATCCAAAAGGCATACTGCCATGTTTATGAAAGCATAATCGATTATGCTACGCATTGCTAGTATCATTGGGGATTGGAGTTGTTTGAATGCCACAATAAGGGAAAAAAATAGTCGTGACCGAAATGTTGATTTTAATATCATTGATCAAGTCATCAATTAGAAAAGACTGAAAAATTAGCAGCAACGCAGTTTCACCTCAAGTCTACATTATGGCGTCGTCCAATATCATAGAGCCAATCTCCGCGTTGGACAACGTGCTCAGTACATGATCCAACAGCAGTGGAGGTACTCATACTTGCGGTATTCAGCACGTCAAATCTATCGCTTAATCGGCTCCTTGTTCCAGCTGTGGGCCTGGACACCACTGTTGATCCATGACTAAGCAATCCTACAGCTGTCTGCAATTGCTTTCTGACAAGGTTACAATATGTAGGAAGCTAAATGGATAAAAAATGTGACTCTAATACCGTAAAAACACAAAAAAAAAAAAAAAAAAAAAAAAAAAAAAAACTAGAATGGATGCCATGACTTGGCATCCAGGTATAAACGAAGCTATCAATTCAGACTCTCAAAGTCTGTACAATCAGTGAATGGACAATGCACAACCCACACTCTATAAAAGAAACTCAGATAGCCCATGCTACTTGATTAGAACATTGAACTTTAGACCTTTCAATCCTAAAAAAGACAGGTATAAAAACGCATGAGTTCACATCTCAATACCATTCGTTTACCTTACCCCTGGTGCTAGTATCCATGTCTAACAGGCGCTTGAAGAACTCAGTACATAAGATATGCATACCTGATCATTCTCGACTCCCCCGAGCTTGGGAGTCAACCACTTGAACATCTTCTCGCATGTCTCTCAACGTTGTCCTTCCTCTTCCGCGCGAGTTAGAGCCAGCATCCCAGTGTAGGCATCTGGCTTTTCTCTCTTCGTTCTTCTCCTTCAACAATCAGATGAATAGACATTTCACGTAAAAACCATGCTCCCAATTTCCACGTAACACGATGGTTGGCGAGAACATTCCCCGCAAAGTAACAGCCTTGTTCAGCAAGCTGGAATACCAAGAAAAGAAACAAAAGTTCTCAAAGGTTGCCTCAAAGACATAAAACAGAATGAGCTGTTTTCTTCAGCATCGCTTTATTGCAAGAGATCCGAAGTCCCTATTTTCTGCACCGCACTACGTGTGTTCCTTCCAGACGACATACGAATTAGCGAACGACCTAAATTAACCCCACTCAAAGGTCCGACCAATCCGCGCTAGAAGGGGTTTTCCGAAGTGCGTTGGCCCCGACGATGAGCTACTTACAGTAGCCTTGATTCAGAGAAACTGAAGATAGTCCAAGACGGAAACAACATACAAACGGAACCACCAAAGCTGTAACTATTTCTCTGAAGCCAATGTCTCGCGCACGCGCAATACCCTTAGCTGATGACAAATATCAAGAGAGCTTACACACAGTAGGTGAGCAATTCCTATTAGCAGTGAAACCAGCTGATCGTCAAAGATCGTGCTATTCTAAACCACAATAGGCAGAACATGAATTAACCCAATGCAGGGACTCTTTCCATGTAATACCTCCCTCGATCTTGAACATCCACATTCCGGCACAAAAGCTGGCCTCGAGTTGAAAGCTGCCGGCGCTCACCGAACTTCAACCCTCAATTGCAATGCACACCCAAAAGACCCAAATATCACTACAAAACTTCCAATCCAACTTCCTGAAAACCATGACCTTACAATTTCACCACACGATCTCAAAAAAACCCCCGAAAAGTTTCATTCCAATTAGACTCACTCCACAGAGACATACAAACTCAACCCCAAAGCAAACGCCCTCCACAATGCAGGAAGAAATCCACACCGAAATTGCAGCTCCCAGCCACTCAAACCACCACCAAATTTGAAAAGCAGTAGCTCAAACGATTCCCACGTGAAACAGGCATTCACAAGGGCGGGCAGTCAGTAACACGGCGAGCGATGGATGGCAGTAGCACTCGGTGGAAGCGATTGAGTGACGCAATTCCGCAGCGGAACGCGTGTGTCCCACCACCACGATCATCATCCCCTGCTCCTCCGCGTCTCGCCATCTCCGCTTTTAGGGTTTACTCTCCCATTAGCTTCACTTTAATCATTGCTTTACCACTAATTACCCACTAATCATAAATAAAGGATCAGGGCAATCACCTCGAATGTCGCGCCTTATTGATGAACGTCGATTTATTCATTGGGTTGACTCGTGGGCAATATCCTTGTGTTTTTCATCCTCATTCGTTGCCCACGACTGAAGCTTGTTGTCAAGTGTCGTGAGCTGGATGTGTCTTTTTTCATTCTCCAGATTGTTGGCTTCTCCGTGTTTCTTTAAATAGTTTGATATTATAAATTTATGGATCCTTTTGGGCCAAACAGGAATTCTCACTTTCTTCATTAAAAGACACTGGTCTTGTTCAAAATTCAATTGAAGGGGTAGATATTGCTGGGTAATAGACAATTTGTTGGGATAAAGGAGAATGATACATTAAAAGCATGGCGATGGAGAAGGAGATATAGTGTTGGTCGATTTGCTTTTTGGATTGCCATCACATGAGCACTTTATTGCTTGTTTGTTTGTGTGCTTTTGAATGATGGATTAAACAAGATATGCTTTAACCGAATGTAGTTATTTACATGGCCATGATGTTGTTACGCCCAGACATATATATATATATATATATTTATTTATTTATTGTTGAAATAAATACATTTATTCAAAGGTGTGATATAATACTTGCACATATATTCAATGTATGCTCCATACAAAACAACTAGATGAACTTGTGTGATTCAAATGAAGCATTTTTTGAGCCAAAGAATATTTTTCAAATACAAATATAATACAAATAGAAAGAAATAAAATACACAATACAGCTTTCAGCCATGAAGTAGGATAGGTAAACTCATATCGTTGTCATGGATAATATGCAAAAAAAATAGTTAATTTTGTTCAAGGAACTACTTGTAAATACATATATATATATATATATATATATATATATGTATGTATGTATGTATGTATAAATTACATTAAAAAATCATAAAAGTATGTTAAGATATTCAAAGATATACTAAAGTCAATAAATAAATTAATTAAAAATAAATAATATAAAAATATTGATATTTATCTAATTAAAAATTTTAGAAAAATATTATTTAGCATAGAATTTAAATTTTCATTTTTAAGAAGAAGAATCTTGATAGAACAAGAGGAAGTGCATTAAGAGAGTGCTACATAAAGTTGACCATGGAAAAAAAATAGATTGTTGTAGATCCAAACCAATATGATTCACCAATTGTCTTTGAAATTTGTTTATTCTTGTTGCAAATGCAAGGTAGATTGGAAATTACTTTCTCTTTAGAATGAATATAAGTTCTATTATTGAAGAAGTTAATATAATCCATGGAATGAACATCAAGTTTCTAGCAAATTTTCTTCTAAGAATTCTTGCTTCAAGAACTTGATCTATTAGTCATATAATTACTAATTAGATTCTATTGCAAAGTCCTTGGTAAAGAGCAATATTTCTTAGTAGCATCATAGGAGTCTCAATTTTAAGACAAAGCCTTAATCTGACTATTTTAGATCGATTAAGCAACTTAATGAATTTGAATGGATAAACATTATTATTGTCACCACCATCTTTGACAACAACTTCATCGGCGCTTAGATATTCTTGTTCTTTTCTAAAAAATATGGCCATAATTTTCTCATTAATATCTTCAATATCATCATTCTGTGTAGATAAAATAATTCTATCTCCTAAGAAGGCATCATTTGCTACACCATCTTTTACTAGCTTTGGATAAATAATATTAATTAAAAATATTAATTATTAATTAATAATTATGTGATCAAGAAGCATAACTACATTATTAGATAATAAGTTTGTGTAATTTCTAATATAGTAAGTGACAAATAAAAATATTAGTCAATAATAATGAAACCATAAAGAATTCAAATGCACCACCATCTATATAGATAACGTGAGTATGCATTTTATACTTGAAGAAGCAAATTAGCAAACTTAATATTTGCTTGAAGTGCTTCTGAATTCAACCTCATGTTTTCTTTCAATGTATGGATTTTTTTAATTTGAGGCCAAAGTGTTGAAAGTTGAAAAGATGTTGCTATAATTTCTTTTTAAGTTTCTTTCACAATTATTGGTAATATTTGGCAAAAATCTCTACCAAAAACTATTAGAACTCTTTCAAATAGGCAATCAATATCATGAATGTTTCTAAAAGAACAATCATTTGTTTTAGGACAATAACAATGTATTTAGTGGAAATCCATGCTGTTAGCTATATATTTATTCTATGTATTTTCTTCCTTAAGTTGTACATATATATATATATATATATATATATATATATATATAACCACCATAATTTATTAGCTCTAATTCACATGTACAAGAGAGGCATGAGAATTCCTACTAAAGTAGAACTTCATATATTTATTAATCCACAAGTTTTGATAGTTGTAGATTAAGTTATTAAAAAAAAAGATATTATTGATTTCAGTTAATTTTAGATTTCAAATTTTTAAAAAATCACATGGTTAATTTTTTATACTCATCTATTCAATTCACTATGGATTAGCACAAACTCAACCTACCATTGATTATAAAATACTTTGAGATTCAAAATTCAAAATATAAAATAAAAAAAATAAAATTATTTTTAAATAAATTTTTTATAAGTCCAAGCTATATTGGATGTAAAATTTTGATTCAAATTTTATATTTCCATATAAAAGTTTCAATACAATTCAAAAATCAATAAGAATTTAATTTATATTTAAACATACATGTATCACGAACATACTCATGTAAGCCAGTAACTACATATACAAATAGGTAGAAGTAAGTAAAAATAGATAAAAGTAAGTTAATTCTATAGTATTTGATATAGTAGCTTTCTAGAAGCTTCATAGATGCTACTTTGACTTTATAGGTGTCTTTAATTGACTTTTTGGATTAGAATCGTGGTCAACAAGTTGGCCATGTGCCACACATATTGTTAGCTTGAAGACCAAGCTAAATATGTGGCCCATACGTAGAAAAACTTGCCTTGTAAGTCAAGGCATGTGTCCTACAAAGTCAACACATATTGGAGGTCCTATAGAACGTTGCCACGTAGCTCCTAGTTAGATAATATATATAGAGACAAGAGTGAAGCCTTCTTCACTCTTGTCAACTCCTTTCTTGCTTCCAGTCTAGTTTCAAGGGTTTCTAGTTTTCTTGTCTTTTGGCAATAGCCATTCCAATTTTTCTTTCAATATACATACTTGTTTTATTTATATTTTGTTATCTTTTTTTGAGTGAAGGCTCACTTGTTTGAATTGCTTTTTCATCGAGTTCTTGTCCTTAACAGATTGACAAGAATACACCTACAATATCATAGCTTTGTCTAATCTTGATTAAGAGTGGATTATCCCTTTTTCTTAATAAGATATAAGCATATTAGAAGTTGCGGATTACCCTCTTCTAAATTGATATTGTCCTTAGTATTTTCTTTGTTCTCAAGTCCTTTCTTCTATTTGTCTTGAGCAATATTAGACATCTTCTCTTTTCTAAGTATTATTATAAAAGAACTTATTGAAATGAAGAGTACAATGGCACAAATGTAAGAGTAATTGAGGGAGTTAATCCTTGCAATGCATCAACTCAATTCACCACCACAAGGAGCAACAAGATTGGCAGGAAGTGAAGATATAGAAATGGTTGGAGCTGCTTCAACATCTGTACCAAATCATGTCCTTTCTCATATGGTAGAATGCCCTTCTAATATTAGAGAACCAAGAATTATCCTACCCGAGAAGTTTAATGGTACTAGATCCAAGTTTTGAGGATTTATTAATCAAGTGCAACTTGTGATTGAACTTCAATCCCAAAGCTATCCAACTCTAAGATCGTAAATTAGATTCATTGGTATGCTTCTTTCAGATTTAGCACTATCATCGTTTTCATCTTTTCTTGAATGACGAGATCCAATATTGGATAATCTAGAGGCTTTTTTGGCAGAGTTTCGATCTATATATGGAGAACATGATGCAATTTATGTTGCAACCAATAAGATCTCTATTTTATGACAAGGCAATCGATTAGTAACGTTGTATGCTTCACAATTTTGACAACTTATAACTGATATCAAGTGAGATGATGCTGCACTTATTAGCCAATTTCTCTATGGATTACAATATGAGGTAATAAAATTAATGCTCAACTTACCTGATCTTCAAACATTGAGTCAAGTAATTGACTTTGCTGTGAAGTGCGACAATCGCCTTTTTGAATTCCGATCTAAGAACCGTACAAGTAGACTTTAACATTACTATAATTCAATGGCCACATGTCACGGCCATAATTATGTAAGCTAATAATTACATATAGAAATAGGTAGAAGTAAGTAAAAGTAAATAAAAGTAAGTTAATTCTATAATATTTAATATAGAAGCTTCCTAGAAATTTTCTAGATGCTGCTTTGACTTCATAGAAGTCTTTAATTGACTTTTTGGATTAAAAACGTGGTCAACAAGTTGGCCATGTGCCACACATGTTGTTAGCTTGAAGATCAAGCTAACTATGTGGCCGACACGTAGAAAAACTTGCCTTGTAAGTCAAGGCATGTGTCCTACAAAGTCAACACATATTGGAGGTCCTATAGAACGTCGCCACGTAGCCCCTAGTTAGATAGTATATATAGAGACAAGAGTGAAGGCTTCTTCACTCTTGTCAACTCCTTTCTTGCTCCTAGTCCAGGTTCAAGAGTCTTTAGTTTCTTGTCTTGTGGCAATAGCCATTCCAGTTTCTTTTTAAT